CTTGCATAACTTCAATGGTTTCATACAGCATTCAGTCCCCTGACGTTCCTGTGTGGTTTCTAGAGGTTCTTAAATCTGACATGGAGGCATGGCGGACCAGTGCGTGTGCGGCACGCATAGAAGGAGCGGTTAGTTTTCTAACCGCTACACCCACTTCCTGGTGAGCGTGCGACGGATGCTGCAAAAGTCACTAGTGCCGCACCCAGACACGTGGTGGAAGTCGTCGTCTGCGGTGGTCGGCGTCGTCCTTGTAGACAGAATCTTCAGGATACGTCGGCAACTACACCCCATTTTCATCCCCCTAGTTACCTCAAGTCGATCGAAATGCAGTGGAGTGGTCTCATCTGAGAATTAGATTATCTTATCGTAAAGTGATAAAATACCTGTTAACAGTCGGGGCATAGGTTGCCAACTGGAGGGCTGGACTGAACTGGGGGTATCAGGTCAAAAACGGCACATCGTGCTATGATCCCCGTGTCAAGGTCGCCCAAGCGAGGTTTGACACCTAACTGACGCAGATGGAGTTAAGCAGCATATCATGCATAGCACAGGCAGACGGGCTACATAAGGCCCCTTGACTCTACCTTACTATTTTAACGTGGTGGATGTGGGAAGAATGCAGAGGGGGAGGGGGAGACAGATGACGCACAAATTAAAAGTCGCCATTCTGTGGATGTCAAATAAAATTACTCGTACTTTAAACCCTATATTGGAAGACACCATTTCTGGTGAGGTGAACAAAGGACATGTGTGCTTTCTTCAGTTCGCTTTTTCTAAAAAAGAACCTTCACGCTACTCAAGCGCAAGCTGGTCGCAAAAATTTCCCACTGAAAGCCAGAAGTCAAGCTACAAATTATTTACAGTGTCCATAGGCGGCATGTCGTGGAACGGTCGCGTCAGTTGAAACATAAGCTACTTCGCGGGTCGCGCGGCGGTAATATTTTTGCGCACGACTGAGCATCGAGTTGAACAATGACTCATCTACAAAAGACTGAATGTTGCCCACCGTCAAATGAAGCCTACCCTGCCGTCCGGAAAATTACCCTACTGAGACAAAAGGAGGTGATCTCGAGCTGACAACTCGCGCCAAGCGACGGTTCAAATAGCTTTTAGAACTACCGAAGGGCTATGATCTGCGCACTCTGAGTAGACTTTGCAAAGGCCAATACAATTGAACAGTATAATGATCCAGCCGGTCCAATAAAACATGGAGCACTTACTAAAGACGGCCGAGCTGATGCGATGAGTGGAACAAGAAGTTTATTAGCCGGACGCTTCAGATTCTCGCTCAACGACGCTGATGAAATCACGGAAATTAATGACTCAGATGCGGACTAAAAAGTAATCATCGCAACTACCACAACACACGACAGCTACTACTTTTAGCAGGCAAGTGGTTGCGTGGTAAATACGTCCTAGACATACTGCACTCCGTGTGCCTTTAGCAGCTCTATCTGCAACTGTTCCTGACGATGGCTTCCAGCGAGAAACGGAAAAATCCAGCTAATAACATTTTTATTCCGGCGATCATTTCTTCTTCTTCTCTCTATCTCTCCCCCACTAGTAGGTACGCTCAAACGTGCCATCTCACAAAAAGCATTAGGGTGGATTGAAAAGGGTCGGTGGGAGGAAAGAAGACAATAAATTTAATCCGTAGTAGTGGCACGCTGATATCCGATCAGGTGATATACCACCCTTAAGTGTGCGGGCTCTTCAATTTGAGCCGCCACCTTACACGTCGATTGGGCTACTTTGCCCATTATGAACCGATGTTTATCCCTCTTTGTTTGTTTCAAATACAATGAGGTCATGAGGGCACAAGGCTTGTGCGCCCGATTTTATTCTTTTAGAACGGAGGACGTTTCAGCTGAAAACTTGGGAATGATATTTTCAAAATATGGAAACTGAGTCCAATCCCTAGATAGACTTTGAAATAGAAATCAGGTCCTAAGTGAGAGGGAAGAATAAGTTAGCATGAAACTTGTATAGAGAGAGGTAGAGAGGAGGAAAATGAGAGAGGGTGCGAGGCAGAAGAGGAAACAAACAATAGGGATTACAGAATACATGAAAATAAATAGTGCAAAAGTCGAACCTTGCATGAAACAGGAACTGGAGTCATTGGCTATCGGGGCAGCCCCTAACTGAGGCGGACTCACACTGAGACCCTCACCGGCGCCGCCCTCCTCCATTGGACCTCCATCTAAGCCGGTCATGTCACTAGAAGAAGCAGTAGGTTCACCACTGCCATTGATTGATAGGTTACGCAGTAAGGAAAGCCCGGGGGAAGATACCTTCGGCGAGGGCTGGGAGTACTTTCGCGTCGGCGTGCGGGGTTCTGAGGAAAGAGTAAAAGTTTATCCGTAGAATCAAGGCGAGAACAACAAAGGAAAAAAAGTTATGGTGCAGAAATCAAGAAAAATCATCACTGAGGGCAACACATTGCATTTAATATGAAGGGGTAGGGTGTTGGGTGCAATAGCCAAGCGAACCCGGTTTTATCTCTACGCAGTATAAATAGACCGATTTTATACTTGACACCACAGGGTCACGCATACTGATCGCCAAGAAAATACGACGGTTCGAACATCGATTCCAACGAAGTCCACTGTTTGCCCCACATGACGGTTGTGCAGGGACGGTGAGTTGCGAGTGGATTAGTTCTAAGTCATAGTAGACGCTTTATTCTCTCACATTTCCATGCCCGGTATCAGAAGAGAGTCAAGAAGACCGGGGGCGGGATCGGGCAGAGGCGACAAACACAATATTACAGCTTACTGTGCCGTGATGGGGCAGGGATCAGGCGATTGGTGCGGAGTGAGGCCGCACATACGTGTGCCATCACGCCCCCTCCTATATGCGGTACTGGCTATGGGAGCACAACCCGAATAACGGCTGTCGTGCCATGATCTAGTCCCCGTAATGGTCCAGCGTATCTACCGTAAGGAATATATATAACTTTAGCTAGTGCCTGTGCTGCCAGTATGGTAAGTATATATCATATATATACGATTCGCGTCAGCCTAACCCGCACCCTTGGACCTCAGTCGTTCGATGCAACCTCGGCCCTCAAACCTTCTAGTGCGATGATTCCGACCCTCATTCTTCATTTCGTCTGACGACGGGGTGATGTAACCAGCTTGAAAATCAGGAGTGAAACTCGATTTTCCTGAAGGGCCTTCTTTCTTCATATATATGATAGTATGAGCATCATCGCTTTGATTAAGGGACATGTATGCCCCGTTGTGCCCTGGAGCTCACTATAGAGGTCTTGCAGGCAGCCGCACGGCGGCTTATGATATGTACTGAGAAGGTGGGACAGAAAAAGACTAGGAAGACAAGAATGACCATTTCTGGCTTATTAACCGTCGTATCTAATCCCAGGTGTGGATTGCCCGAGGCATATATACTCAGTGTGTGTGGTAACCACGGTAAAATATGAGAATGGGATATGCATTCCCGTGTTTTGTCCAAAATCTTAACATTAAGAATTGCCACACACTAACCTCAACCCTAAGGCTAGAAGTTAGCACAAGAAGGGGAGTTCCGATTCCAGTGTTATACCCCGAACAACGGAAAGAGAGTTAAGACAAGAGAGCCGGGCAAAGTAACAACAACAAAACTAACTGCTTGAAGTGTTGGTCGTGGCCATTGGTGTCTCTGACGCAGTAGATTGATCGCCCATTCTGTTTTCCGTCCCCAGACGCTGCGCGGCGGCCTTCTGCAATTGGTCAAAATTGGCGTACACGGGAGGAGGCAGTACCTGATTCGGATACAGTATCGATCGGTCTACAGGCAGTTGAAAGGGTGTGGAAAGAATCACCGTTAGCATAGCAAAAAGGTAGTGTTAATGATTTTGTAAGAAAACTATCAGTGTGAGGTTTCTGAAAGGTTGGATGGAAATGGTAGGTACAAACACAAGTAATATTTGCAGAGGTAGCAAATTCCGGAGTTTTTGTTGTTGCAAAATAACTTTGATTCTGCTAATTTGCTGAATGTTTATCCAAACCTACATGAAATAAAATCAGGACAAGATCGGCTGCAATGGCAGACCCGGGCATTTCGCTCACCGTATTGACCACAAAACAGGCAAGAGACTCTGCTCCAGCGCTCTTCCGGCAACAGGAAACTGAGTGACCATCGTAATTTTGGCCCAGTCGTCCCCTTCGCGGCAAATATCTCACCCCTTGGCCCCAAGATTACTACACTCCAAAGTTTAAAAGACGCGTCTACACGTGCCACGCACGTGCTACTCCATAACTTTAAATTGGCCCAACCTTAAATAAAGTGACCTTTATCTAGTATTAAAAGAGAGTTGCCATAGAGACCAGACAGGAAAAAAGCCGGTGCGATTAACTGTCAGCCTGGAGAAGGCGGGTCGAATTATTCTTCAAAAAGTAGGGCTTCCTAATTAAAAA